ATGTCCCCCCTGAGATTATGGTCCCAAGCCCACAGGTTCAACTACTCGGTCCCTCTGGGTAGCTGGCTGTGACCATAAACCAACTACATTTTTACTCAATTGAGCTCCAACATACCATTAATACACACACACACACACACACACACAATTTTACTTCAAAGACTCAATTAAAATGTTTCAATGTAATTTATATTTATAGAAATGTTTCCAGTGCTCATTACAAGAGGAAAAAAAAAGAAGGTCCCTATCAATCATAATAGCAACCACTTATTAGAGTATAGGAGTCTGCTGGTAGTGCACAAGGTTATCACACTTGGCTGCTAAACAGAAAGGTTGGAGGTTCAAGTCCCGCCGGTGGCACTACAGAATAAAGGCCTACTTCATTTTGATCTACTTCTGAAAAATCATCCCTATGGAGCACAGTTCTACTCTAACACACAAGAGGTCATCATGAATTGGAATCAACCTCACAGTAACTGGCTCTGGTTGAACCAAACAAGGCAAATACCGTTCGAGAGCTTTTCAAGTACTATGCCATTTAATGTGGTTCACACCACCAGTTGCTCCTCACAAGGAAGTTGAGTCAACCTACTTCCGCAGTGATACTGCCTCGGAAACCCAAGTCCGGTCTGACTCGACAGCACATTATAACAACATGGCATTTAATTCTTACTCCAACTATACTTGGTGGATTCATAATAAGCATGTGAACAACTTTTATGGAACTGCAATGGATCAAGGGATGAAGCTGGGCTGGTGGCTAGATGAAGAGTAGGTTTAAGGCTGTAAGGAAGGATGGGACAATCCAGGATTAGCAAAGAAGGTTAGTAGGGAAGTCCTGGGAGGCCTGAGCAGAGAACTATGCCTCCTGCTCCTTCCTCTTCCATTCCCTCCTTCTACTACTGGTGCTCACGTTTGCCCTCTTTCCACAGGCCCATCCATTGTTACTTCCTCCACATACATTCCTTCTCAACTAGCCCTCTTGTTGTTCTTTCTCCTCACTCTTAGATAAAAGTAATCCATTTTCCTGCTAAGTAGTTCCTTCTCCATCACTTTTTCCATCCTATCTCTTTTCTTTCCCGTCGTTTCATTCTTTCTTCTCTCTTAAGGGTCTCTTATTTCTATTTCACTCTAGAAATGAGCTATAATACGTAAATTACAGAAAATTTTACATGCTATTTTTAAAAATAAAATTTAAGTTTTTCTTAACTTGCTACAAAAAGCAGTTGATATGAACACCACATTTGCTTCCTCCCAAGAAAACAAAATTCAAAAGTGCCATATATTATTTTGAGTTGATACATAGTAAGTTTGTTTGGTTTTGGGTTGGTTAGTTTTTTAGTGGCCTTTGAGCTATTTAAAAAAAAGAGGTTTCCCTTTGTTCTAAAGGTTCAATATTAATCAGAAATCTACAAAAGATCATGGGGGGGTGCTTTCATCTGAAGAAGAGAAGAGGAGACAAGGTATATGACAGAAGTCTAGGCCTTATTCAGGATTAATACGAATTTTTAAAACTCTCCAACTCTGAGTCTTGCCAAGTGATCAGGTGATTAATCTCAGCATGCAAATTGATTTGAGGGTAGAGAAGATACTAAGCAATCCTTCCCACAAAGTGCCCCTACCATTCACTTCACCACCTGCCTACCCCATAGTGGCATTACTAGAGAGGTACAGGGGGTGAAGATCAGGCCAGGTGATACTGTCAGAGGGGGTGACACCAAAATGACTGTCTAGAAAATTTTTGTGCAATGTTTCAGCAGAAATTTATTATTTAAAAAAAAAAAATAATAATATCTGTAGTTAGTTATAACAAATAAAAACATTTTTCATAAGACCAGTTGATATGTATCAATACACTTACAAGGCTAAAATTCTATGCTAATTTACTTTTTGACTGCTAACCAGAAGGCTGGCGGTTCAAACCCACCAGCCACTCCTCGGAAGAAAGGTTGGGCAATCCTACTTTCATAGTGATACTGCCTCGGAAACTCAAGGAGGGGTCTCTATGAGTCAGCCGACTGGAGGCAAAATAACAACAACAACAACAACAATGTGCTCTAGTCAGAGCTGTCATTGTTACCCAATTAGCATGATGTTTTGAATCACTAGGTCTCACCTGCCAGCTATAAGCATGTGCTGTTATTTGTTTTCATTCCTGCTGGTATTTTTATAGCTGCTAATTTTGTGAAAATTTTTGGTGTTTTAACTACACTATTGTGGTAATTATTATTTGTGAACCTATATCAATAACTTTTTTTGAGAATGAAGTAGCACTTAAAAAAAAGGAAAAAAATTTTAAAAGGCTTCCATTCTGTTTCTGTGAGTCACAATTGACTCGATGGCAGTGAATTTGGTTTTTGTCTTTTTTTTTTTTCCTGTTTCTAATAATGCTATAACTAATACTGTTATAATTCAGTACAGGAAGATTTTACAAAACAATTTGTTGTTAGTATTCATACAATCTAAGGCATATTATAGGAACTCTGGTGGCTTAGTGCCTAAGACATTTAACTGCTAACCAGAAGGCTGACGGTTCAAACCCACCAGCCACGCCTCAGAGGGAAGACTGGGAAATCTGCTTCTGTAGTGATACCACCTCAGAAACCCAAGGAGGGGTCACTATGAGTTGAATCTGACTCAACGGCAGTGAGTTTGGGGTTTTTTTTTAAGGCAGATTATATTTTTTTAAATTTACAACTATATTTATCACATATTATTCTAAGATTAAAATTGATAATAAACATTACTAAGGATTCTATATGGCTTGGTACAGGAGGAGGTCTATGGTCGGAGGGTGCTGACAACATTGGTTACTGACTTGGGTGACAGCAACCCTAGTGACACGTCTGAATACACCAATTTTAGGACTTAGGCACAGTCCTACACACCACACCCACTGCCATCAAGTCAGATTCTGACTCATAGTGACCCCCCATAGGGTTTCCAAGGCTGTAAATATATACAGAAGTAGATTGCCTCATTTTCCTCCTGCTCAGCAACTGGTGGGTTTGAGCTGCTGACCCTCTGGTTAGCAGCCAAAAGCTTTACCCACTGTGCCACCAGTCAGTGCTATGTAATCCTGTGGTATGATTTCAGAGAAATAAAAACTAAATTAGGAGCACTGACCCAACAGCTAAAGAACAAGACCAGGAGTCAGGGACTTGGGTTCTAGCTCTGAATCTGTCCCTTCAGAGCTGAGTCAACTTCCTAAATGTTCTTTACCTCTAAAATGAGAAGGTAAAACTAGATAATCCTCAAGTTTTATAAACTTGGCCCTAAAGTTTTATAAATTAGTTCTGTCATATAGCTCAAAAGATAAAGACTCACAAAGTGATGTTACTTCCATAAAATAAAGTATGAAAAACAACCCCACAGTACCTCTGGATTTGACCCTTTCTTTGTAGGTAACTGAAGCCACCTAGTGGCCAATGAAATCCTAACTTCCATCTCTGATAAGGTCATTTGCAGTCAGCAAACCCTTCCCACTGAATTGTGAGGGTGGACTGTAGTCTCTTCTCCATCCCTCATCCCACCCAACCCCAGTAAAGCCTGGGAACCCAATGGATCTTCAGGAAACTCTAGAATGCTAAAAGGGACATCTTTGTCTAGCTTCTCAAAATATGTGGGGTCATCAGTTCCTTGAATCCAGAACAGTATTTCCATTTCATCTCCACCGTTTAAGTGGGCCACATTATAGGAAGCCTAGCATAACCCAATAAAGTATCCCTCACCATCCAAATTTATTTGGTCTTTGAGTTGGCATAGCTGGTTACTGAATCCATTTCATTCTTCTGTTTTAAACAGAAAACAGATATAATTTACATACAAGAAATTTATCTAAACCTGTTAACTTTCTGAGTTCAGGAAGGAAGAGTTTGGACAGTGTGGGATACATGTATTTCTTAAGACTTTAAAAAAAAATCTTTATAGGTGCTTCAAGTATCCAACCCAGTAAAGGAGAAATTAGGGTCTTCTCTCACTGAAAGAACTTGCCAAATATTATTGGAATGTCAAGGTGGTTAAAGTAATTTCAAACCTTAAACAATTTACTTCTTCTCAGTGTCATCAAAGCCATTGCATATAATTTAGATCAAATAACAGAAAGCTAGACTGCAGATGAATTCATTTAACATTACATTTTTTATTCCACAGGAGCAATAATAGTATCTCTAAAAACTCCAGAAAAAAAATGAGTAGAATTTCTGTCTAAAACATACATGATGGAACTGGGATTTTGACTCAGGTATAT